AGCCAGTGTTTGTAGCAGCTTGGGGGATGTTAGTGATCTCTGCCTGAATCCTCCTCAGTAAATTTCAAATCCCAACTGATGGGTGCTTAGTTTAGTAAACATTAGGATCGAAAGTTTTGTATACAAAGCTATTTATTTTTCTTCGGAGGAAAAATAAGTGAATCTTAGAACCTCGGTTCTTTTTATAGAGGCACACCATCTAATTATAATATGGTATATTTTTCTGATTTTGATGTAGTGCTAATAGCAATAAGTATAATTAGGTATATTTTTACTGCATTTTGAACCAACTGAAGTGTGGTAATTATTTGCATTTATTGCATACTTCTAATAATATTCCTAGCTTCAATTTCTTCCATGAAAATATTCCCAAAGTAGTTCTTATACCCAAGGATTGCAAAGTAATTTATTGTTACAAACAGAAATCTTCTAATTTCTCACCTATTTTTTTTTAAAGAAACCAAAGTTTAAAAATTGCTACTACAAACTCAATATCTAATTTCATTTTGAATTAATGTTTAAAATACTAGGAAATAGTTGAATTTCCTTTCAATTTATATCCTGAAATGGTGTTTTTCTGATGGCTGAAATTAATGATGGAGTTTTTTAATGTTGCCTACAAACCTGCTTTATAGGATATTTTACTGTTCTTTCCATTGGTTGACATAATCCAGGTGCTTGCTGGTTATCAAAATTGTGACTTGAATAGTAAAACCTTAACTTCCACATTTCTTAAGTTATAAGCCTGTATCATTTCAGGTCAAAAAGTTGGCCTAGGGGCTTCCCTGGTGGCGCAGTGGTTGAGAGTCTGCCTGCCGATGCAGGGGACACGGGTTCGTGCCCCGGTCCGGGAGGATCCCACATGCCGCAGAGCAGCTGGGCCCGTGAGCCATGGCCGCTGGGCCTGCACGTCCCGGAGCCTGTGCTCCGCAATGGGAGGGGCCACAACAGTGAGAGGCCCGCGTACTGCTAAAAAAAAAAAAAAAAAAAAGAAAGTTGGCCTACTCTTAATTCTCTTCATACATATACAGCATAAAATTATGCTTTAAGTTTTGAACCAGGTACCAACATTACAAAAGTCATATATAGAAAACACAGACATTCTCTTTAACAACTGTGTTTTCTAATCTGTTATACGTTGTAACATGTAGTGATATTGTCTCAGGGTTCAAAACAGTAAAAGCTTATGAACTCCACGTCTCCTTTATTAGACCTTAAGAGCTATGTAACCTATGAAGGCTCACTTTTAGCCTTGATTGATCAGAAGTTCGCTAATTGATTTTCTGATAAATAAAGTTGTATCACTTAGGCTGCTTTCCAGCATGATTTTTATTTCAGTCCCATTCCCAGATCTTTTATTCTCTTCTGCCTTTCCTCTATATTACTCAGCTCCTCTATACTTTTTAAAAAGGGTTTTATTATACTGACTTTTACTGTGTGCTGTTTGAAATCCACTTCGGAAATAGATGCAAGAGTTATTTATTTACATTTAAGTAATTACTTTTAAAATTCTGATTCTCTCATACCAAAGGTGTCTAAAATAGTTTTGTTGTTGTTGTTTTATTTTTTTTTACTCTGCTTTGTTGTTTCCTGTAACCATATATTCAAGTCTTCTGTTTCATATATTACCAGTACAAAAGAAATATTAAAATATTTCCGTGGCAATACTTTAGCTATGAAAGAATGAGAAAATCTGTTTGTTTTTTTTGTATGAACTATATGTATATTCACTGTACATTTTCTAAATTTAAAATCTCTTTAGACAATGAAAAAATTATGGACAATGAAAAAATTACGGCAACACATAATCCTATTATGCAGACAGATCTTCTGTTAACATTTCTTGCATCTCCTCCCAAATTTCTCTATATTTATACACATGATTTAACAAAAATGGAATCATGCTATAAACCTTGCTTGAAACTGCTTTCTTAATTTGACAATACGCCATAGTCAACTTCCATGACCACAAATAATTATTTGCACTATAATTTTAATGACTTTTATCTTTCCTTTAATGTTTGTACCATAATATAACAATTTCCTCTTGATAAATATATAGGTTGCTAGATTGTTTCCTCCCTTTTTTTTCCTCTATCATAAACAACTTGGAGATAAACACCCTTTGCAAATTCTTAAAAGCTGATGTATATAATTATTTTCTTCAGAAAATGTATGATTCATTGGAATTAACGTTTAATATTTAAATTGCCCAAATGCTGTTCAGAGATTTGTGCCACTTAATATTTCTGCTATGAGTATGGAGGATTGCTCATTTCCATATACTCTAAGAACAAACGATTTTGTTTAAGTTGTTGTCTGATTCAACATGACATGTAAAAACAAAATATTTCGTTGTTATTTTACTTTTTTATCACCTCAAAAGTTAAACAGCGTTTCTTGTAAAAAAAAAACACAAAAAACAAAAAAACCCTCTATTTGAATGACCGTGAAGATGATGATATCAATGACTAAAATATGGAATGGGTAAGAATTTCAACTTTAGGTTAAAATTATTCTATTTTGAATATGTTAAAGGTAAGATGAGAATAAGTCACTGAAGTGAAAATATTCAGCAAATGACTGATGATAACAAATGGAGCAAGAGTGAGAGATCAGAATTAGTAGTGTAGATAGAGAGAAATCACAGAATGATGCCTTAAAGAAGAACAAAGAATCTAAAAGAGTAGATGTACTGTTTATAAGGAATAGACACTTGTTCATGTCAGGGATGGGGAAGGAGCTATACAATGAAGATACAAGTAGATATAAGTGCAAGAGGAATCTCTCCCCTCACCACCACACAGGAAGAGCTGCATAGCTGGACTCAGCTTCTAGCCTCCTCTCCTTAGTAACTAACTCCCCCATCCTCAGATTAATTTTCTGAAACAACATGTGTAGCCCAACTAATCATCAGCCTCCCATTTTGACATCATCAGATTACCACACAGGTTACTGGCCAGCCTACAGATTGGCTGGCTTTGGGTCAAAGTCCCACCCTGATTCAATCCACCATGGCCACCAATATTAGAAGTCAGATGCTATGGTAGAGAACACAGTACACAATCATCCCTGTACAAGGTATGGCCTCGAGAATGGTGGGGGCAATTTCCTTCAGTAGAGACTGTGAGCTGACAGGAAAGAAAAATTTCTCACAATGATCTGGGTTAGCCATTGATATGTAAGAAGCACCTAGAGGGCACTGTCCGTAAGATAAATAGCAATGGTTTTTATGGACAATTTACAATGAAAAATCTTTACAAAACTATGAACAAGTTTCAGTCCCCCACGGAGCTGAACCATAGTTAGTTTCCCCCAAATCATTAGAACAGTAGTACTTCATTCAAATGCTATTCTTTAAACACCTAAACTCTATGAATAGTTCATATTTATGCCATCTACCATCATAATTGTACAAGAAATCATCTTATTGAAAGCATTGGTTATATTAAGTAATATCACATTCACAATGCTTGGGACAGATCACTTGATGTTAAATAGTGAAAAAACAAAATGTCATCTCACAATAGCCAAAGCACCTATAATCAATTCAAGTATAAGCATCTAATAATTTATTTTGTAACAAATGTTAAATGCAATGACTGGTCAAATAGAGTATTTTATCCTTGAGCAACCTGTCACATACATTGAAAACAATTCTCTTTTGGCTAAGATCAAAATATTCTTTCTCCCTAGAGATTACAGAATTTAGGCATAGCCTACAGAATATAGGCATTTACTAATAAAATGTCTCTTGGTGTTTAATACTCAAACATCATAGAAAATACAAAATATCTCAGTAAGAAGTTTTTATAGTCATGTTTAATAGGGAAAATAGATATGTATTTACACACCAAAAACTCAATAGATTTTTAACAAAACAATGTTCAAGACAGGTTCACTTATCCTCCAAATACAACTAGTAGAATGTCAGAAGCATGTGTTCTTTGAAAAAGGAGAAAGGGTCAACTGAGAGGATGTGCATCTTGGAGATGGCAAGGCTCAAAGAGGCATCATAATGTTACTATATACAAAGCAACTGTCAGTTTGGTAAGAGAGGAGAGTTTTTACATTTTACATCCTGTAGCAGGATGTTACTTTAGTTAAAAGTTACTCTTCTTACCTATATGTAAGGCTTCTTACTGACTTTTACTACAGTTAATTATACTCAGAATTGAATGGGAATTTGTGTTGAAATACTACCACCTACTGTAACTTCATCCATTTAAAATAATGAGAAAACAAAGGAATCAAATTAACAGCACCTAATAGGCATCATGTGCCTCCTGATATAATGTACTAAGAGCAGAAAATTCACTGTTTCCAAAAGTAATCATCTGAATCCAATTATGAGGAAACCCAAACTGAGGGGCATTCTAAAAAGTAACTGGTCTGTATTCTTCAAAAATGTCAAGGTAAGGAAAAACAGAAAAAGAGTGAGAAACTGTTGTAGATTATGGGAGACAAAAAAATAAGGCATGGAAACTAACTGCACTATGTGCTCTTATGTTGGATCCAGGATCAAAAAAATTTTTTTTATTTTGTTATAAACAACGTTAGTAGGACAACTGGCAGAATTTGGATATGGTTTCTAAATTAAATAAGATAACTGTATTCATATTTAATTTCCTGATTTTGATGAGTTCTATTATGAGTATGTAAAAGAATGTTCTTATGTAACCAAATTACTCTCAAATGTTTCAGAAAAAAATATATGTAGAGAGAGAGAAAAAGGAAAAGACAAAGAAAATGTAATATAAGGTTAACATTTATGGAATCTGGGTGAAGTACATACATGATTTCTTTGTGTAACTTTTGTGTAGGTCGGAAATACTTCAAAAGTTAAAGTTAAATATTTAAATAAATAAATAAAATGAGAAACCAGCTCTCATGTAGCATATTCATATAGAACATTTAATTTTCAAAAACAGAATTAGCAGGAAATCCCTGTATAGGTTATAGTGCTTTTCAAGTTGATTCAGTTTGGTCTAAAAAGTTACCTGATTACAATCTAGCATGCCTCTTGCCACAAATCTGGGGGATTTCATCCTTCTCCTCCTCATACTGCATACCTACAAAAAACAAAAATATTCTCACTTTCAGTAAAATGCAACCAGTTAACATCTTGCTCCTATGATATGATGTAGCAGAAACACATAACTATCTCCTAAGTAAAAAACAATCCTTTTACCCCACTTTTCTAAAATTTCAACTACATTAACTAAATTGTAATGAAATAATATTCATAGGTCTATGTATACATATGTCTGTGTCACACAGGTATTCTCCCAAAACACTAAGAGGCTTCATGACAAACGTTCAGTGTAAACTGTGTGAATTTTAAGTATTCCATCTTCTCCAGAAAGTCCATGTAATTCTCATTAATAGCTAACTATTGATAACTAGGAACAAGGTCATAGTCCTCTGACCAACAGGCTCCTTGGAGACATTTGGGTAAGAGGGTACAGCCAGCAAAGGACTCCAATAGCTAGGCAATACCTTAAGGTGGGCTGTCTATTACAGCAACATTTCATACATGGACAGGGATAACAGGCTGTATTTTCCAAAGATGATCACATCCATATCGTCCATTTCACATGCTCCTTTATAATAATAAAAGTCGTACTGACACTCCTACTACGAAGATATGAGAGTCTATCTTTTCTTCCCTTGAATGTGAGTGGATTTTTGACTCTCGTATAACCAAGAGAATACAGCTAAAACAATGCTACATAACTTTAGAAGCTAGGTCAGGAAAGACAATGTGGTTCCACCTTGTTTGCTGAGACACTTTCTTCTGGAGCCCTGAGCTGCCATTAAGAAGTTCTACTACTCTAAGGCTGGTATACTTGGGTGAGGAAGCCCAAACCATATGGAGAGACCACTTACAGATGCTCTAGTCAGCAATCCTAGTCTTTGAGTTTTCCTAGGCTGGATGCCAGACATGTGAGTAAATACTCTAGGATCACCCAACCCCCAGCTGTCAACACTTAGTCTTTGAGACTTCTCAGTTCAACCACTGACATCAGGCAGCAGACGAGCCATTCCTACTATGCTGTCCAAATTCCTGACCCACTGAATCCATGAACATATTAAATTAATTTTTACACAGCCACATTTTGGGGTAGTTATGCAATAATAGGTACTTAAACAACAGGGCATTGTAAAAATTAGTGTGCACTGGTCCTAATATTAGTCTCATCATCTTATGTAAAAGAATAAGTGTGTTGTGGAGATAAGGACGAGATGGGGGAGTAGAAGGACTTGAGCTCAACTCCTCTCATGAAAACACCAAAATCACAACTAACTGAGCAACCACTAACAAAAAAGATGGAAACCTACCAAAAAAGATATTCTATATCCAAAGAAAAAGAAGCCACAATGAGATGGTAGGAGGGGCGCTTTCACGATATAATCAATCCCATACCTGCCAGGCGGGCAACCCACAAACTGGAAAATAATTATATCACAGAGGTTCTCCCATAGGAGTGAGAGTTCTGAGCCCCACGTCAGGCTCCCCAGCGGGGGACTGGCAACAGGAGGAGGAGCCCCCAGAGCATTTGACTTTGAAGGTCAGCAGGGATTGAGTGCAGGAGCTCCAGAGGACTGGGGGAAATACAGACTCCACTCTTGGAGGGAGCACACAAGTTTTCACATGCACTGGGACCCAGGGCAAAGCAGTGACTCCATAGGAGTCTGGGCCAGATGTACCTGCAGGTCTTGGGGTGTCTCCCGGGGAGGAGGGGGTTGGCTGGGGCTCACACCAGGGGCAAGGCCACTGGTGGTAGAGGTCCCAGAGTGAGCTCTCCTGAGGTTGCCACTTTGGCACCAAGACCTGCCCCACCCGAAAGCCTGCAGGCTCCAGTGTTGGGACGTCTCAGGCCAAACAACCAACAGGGTGGGAACACAGCCCTACCCATCAGCAGACAGGCTGCCTAAAGTTGTCCTGAACCAACAGCTGCTTATAAACACACCACTGCCCACCAGAAGGATAAGACCCAGCTCCACACACCAGTGGGCAGGCACCAGTCCCTCCCACCAGGAAGCCTGCACAAGCCCCTGAACCAACCTCACCCACCGGGGGCACACACCAGAAGCAAAAGGAACTACAATCCTGCAGCCTGAGGAACAGAGACCACAAACACAGAAAGTTAGACAAAATGAGATGGCAGAGAAATATGTTCCAGACAAAGAAACCAGACAAAACCCAAAAAGAACTAAGTGAAGTGGAGATAGTCAATCTACCCGAAAAAGATTTCAGAGTGATGATAGTAAAGATGATCCAAAATCTCAGAAAAAGAATGGAAGCACAGACCGAGAGGATACAAGAAATGTTTAATAAAGAGCTGGAAGATTTAGGGCTTCCCTGGTGGCGCAGTGGTTGAGAGTCCGCCTGCTGATGCAGGGGACACGGGTTCGTGCCCTGGTCCGGGAAGATCCCACATGCCGCGGAGCAGCTGGGCCCGTGAGCCATGGCCGCTGAGCCTGCGCGTCCGGAGCCTGTGCTCCACAATGGGAGAGGCCACAACAGTGAGAGGCCCGCATACCGCAAAAAAAAAAAAAAAAAAAAAAGAGCTAGAAAATTTAAGAAACAAAGACATAGAGATGAACAATACAATAGCTGAAATTAAAAATACACCAGAAGGAATCAATTGCAGAATAAACGAGACTGGAAGACGGATGGTGGAAATCACTGTTGAGGAACAGAATAAAGAAAGAAGAATGGAAAGAAATGAGGACAATCTAAGAAACCTCTGGGACACATTAAATGCACCAACATTCGCATTATAGGGGTCCCAGAAGGAGAAGAGAGAGAAAAAGGGCCTGAGAAAATATTTGAAGAGATAATAGCTGAAAATTTCCCTAACACAGGAAAGGAAACAATCACTCAAGTCCAGGAAGTACAGAGAGTTCCATACAGGATAAACCCAAGGAGGAACATTCTGAGACACATATTAATCAAACTGATAAAAATTAAAAACAAAGAGAAAATGTTAAAAGCAACAAGGGAAAAGCAACAAATAACATACAAGGGAATCCCCATAAGGCTATCAGCTGTTTTTTCCCCCAGAAACTCTGCAGGCCAGAACGGAGTGCCATGATATATTTAAAGTGATCAAAGGGGAAAACCTACAACCAAGAATGCTCTACCTAGCAAGGCTCTTGTTCAGCTTTGACAGAGAAATCAAAAGCTTTACAGACAAGCAAAAGCTAAGAGAATTCAGCACCACCAAACCAACTTTACAACAAATGCTAAAGGAACTTCTCTAGATGGGAAAGAAAAGGCCACAACTAGAAAAAAGAAAATTACCAATGACAAAGCTCACCAGTAAAGATAAACATACAGTAAAGGTAGGAAATCATCTACACACAAATATGAAGTCAAAACCAGCAATCATGAGAAGAGAAGAGTACAAATGCAAGATATCGGAAATGCATTTGCAATTAAGAGACCAGCAACTTAAAGCAATCACACATATAAAAATATATAGAGAGACTGCTATATAAAAACCTCACGATAACCACAAACCAAAAATCTACAATAGATACACATACAAAAAAGAAAAAGCTATAAAACACGACTCTAAACATAGTCATGGGACTTCCCTGGTGGCGCAGTGGTTAAGAATCCGCCTGCCAGTGCAGGGGAAATGAGTTTGAGCCCTGGTCCGGGAAGATCCCACATGCTGTGGAGCAACTAAGCCCATGCGCCACAACTACTAAGCCTGTGCTCTAGAGCCCACAAGACACAACTACAGAGCCTGCAAGCCACAACTACTGAAGCCTGCACACCTACAGCCCGTGCTCCACCACAAGAGAAGCCACCGCAATGAGAAGCCTGTGCACCACAACGAAGAGCAGCCCCAGTGTGCCACAACTAGACAAAGCCCACGTGCACCAACAAAGACCCAATGCAGCCAAAAATAAATACATAAATAAATAAATTTATATATTAAAAAAAAAACACGTAGTCATCAAATCACAAGAGAAAAGAACAAAAGAAAATGGGAAGAAAAAAGACCTACAGAAACAAATCCAAAACAATTAACAAAATGGTAATAAGAACATACATATCAATAATTACCTTAAATGTAATTGGATTAAATGCTCCAACCAAAAGACACCGACTGGCTGAATGGATACAAATACGAGACCTACATATATGCTGTCTACAAGAGGCTCACTTCAGATCTAAGGACACATACAGACTGAAAGTGAGGGGATGGAAAAAGGTATTCCATGCAAATGGAAAGTAAAAAAAAGCTGGAGTAGCAATACTCATATCAGACAAAACAGACTTTAAAATAAAGACTGTTAGAAGAAACAAAGAAGAACACTACATAATGATCAAGGGATCAATACAAGAAGGAGATATTGCAATTGTAAATATATATGTACCCAACATACGAGCACCTCAATCACACCCATCCTTCTGAGACTATTCCAAAAAACTGCAGAGGAAGGAACACTCCCAAACTCCTTCTATAAGACCACCATCACCTGATACCAAAACTGGACAAAGATATCACAAAAAAAGAAACTTACAGGCCAATATCACTGATGAACATGGATGCAAAAATCTCAGCAAACCGAATCCAACAATACATTAAAAGGATCATACACCATGATCAAGTGGGATTTATCCCAGGGATGTAAGGATTTTTCAATGTCCACAAATCAATCAGTGTGATACGCCACATTACAAATTGTAGAATAAAAACCATACAATCATCTCAATAGATGAAGAAAAAGCTTCTAACAAAATTCAACACACATTTTTGATAAAAACCTTCAGAAAGTGGGCATAGAGGGAACCTACCTCAAAATAATAAAGCCATATATAACAAACCCACAGCTAACATCACACTCAATGGTGAAAACCTGAAAGCATTTCCTCTAAGATCAGGCACAAGACAAGGATGTCCACTCTCGCCACTTTTATTCAACATAGTTTTGGAAGTCCTAGCCACCATAATCAGGGTAGAAAAAGAAATAAAATGAATCCATATTGGAAAAGAAGAACTAAAACTGTCACTGTTTGCAGATGACATGATACTATACATAGAGAATC